ATATGTCTTGTCAATATCCATATTCTTTCCCCATAATGATGACAGTTTTTGAAATTTATGGTCCAGTGAATTATTTTTAAAATTACTTTGTTCCTTCTTGTATCACCTAATATAATCATCATTTTTATGTGCCACTGAGTTGGAACTGACTCATGGCTGACCTTCATTTCTCAAATTAACGGAATTTATCCTCAATAATTTAGAGAGGTCCCTAATTGCAGACTTTCCCAGTGCAAAATATCTCTTGATCTCCTGAGTGTTGATGCCAAGTGTATTGATTATAGATCCAAATAAGATGAAGTCATTGACAATTTCAATCTTTTCTCCATTTATCATGACAATATCTGTCAGCTCAATGATGAGAATTTCTGTTTTCTTGACGTTGAGATGTAATCCACAGCGAAGGCTGCAGTGTTTGATCTTCTACAAGAACTACTTCAAGTCCTACCCACTTTTAGCCAACAAGGTTGTGTCATCTGCATAATTAGGTAATTGATGAGTCTTTTTCCAATCCTGATCCCACATTCTTCTTCAGAGTCCAGCTTCTTAAATAATTTGCTCAGCATACAGATTGGATATTACCTGACAGATACAGTAACTGATAGATAGCAAATAATTAGTAGCACTTCTTATTTTATTATTGAGAAAATTTTTAAATAATGTAAAATTTTACCCACAGACAGTCGCTGTTGCCAGTTTGATATTGTTTTTAGTTCCCATCAAGTTAGCTCCAACTCATGGCTGCCTTGTGCAGCTTAACTAACAGCATGAAAAACTGCAAACATAGTACAACCTGGTCCTGCAACTTCAACATGATCATTTGGATTCTTGTTCTGTTTTTTTGGCTATTGTGTCGATTCATTTCATGGAAGTTTCCCCTCATTTTCTTAAAGCTCTTTAATTTCTTTATAGATGATTTAGATATAGATAAGGGGAGAGAGAGAGAGAGAGCGAGAGAGAGCACACACTGGTGGCCTAGTGTTAAGTAGCTGCGCTGCAATTCTGAATGTAGGCAGTTTGAATCCACCAGCTGCTCTCCAGGGAAAGTATGGAAAATCTCCTCTCGTGAAATTAACTGCCTCTGAAAACCCACCAGAGGGTCAGCTATGGGTGAGTTCCGACTCGAAAGTACACAACAACAATTATCGAGTCAAGTCTGGTTTTCTGAAGCTATCAGTCTTTAAGGGAGAGCCTCCTCATCTTTCTCCCACAGAGTGACTGGTAGATTTAAACCACCTACCTTTTGGCTGGTTAACTGGAACCTTACACTCTATATTACCTGAGCTCCTTTTTCTTTATAAATGCATAGAATGTACAGTGTACATACATATTTTGGAAGGAAGGTGAATTGATTGGTTTTTTTTTTTTCACTTTGAGGATTGCCACCCAGCTTCTTGCCTTTCCCCCCCCCTTTGTTGTGTACCATCCAATCGAGTCTGACAGGCACAAGAGGAGACTGCCCTCCTTCTCCAGTGGAGCATCTGGTGGATTCGAACCACACGTCTTTGATTTTTTTTCCACTTTTAATGATATTAACATCTTGTCATTAAGCCCTTCTGTTAATTAAAGTTTAATAACTCTATAGTATTGGATATATACTCTGATTTATTTAATTGAGCCCTGTAGTTTACACATTTTAAGTAATCTTAAACCTTTTGATATTGCTATAATGACAGTGATATTTCTACTATAACCCCATTTTATTAAATCTTTGCTATGTTTGTGATTCACCTTTAGAATAACATTCTATTCAAATGAGGTAGACAGTGTATGTGTATTTTCAAGATCAGAATGCTATTCCAACTCTTCCTTTCATAAGCACCGGTGTTTGCATGGTATTTCCCTAGAGTTCTTTATCTTTCAAAGGCACAAGTATGATCACATATATATAGTTGTATCCTATTCGTTTCCATTAACATTATATCTACATAATTACAAATAATTATGCCACTACTAAAGGGGCTACACCTCCGTTATGTGGTTTTTCTTATGCCCATGAACATAGGCATCCAGAATGTAGCTGTTGTAAATACCATGGCATCGTTTGTACTCCACCTACTCCATCCAGCACCCCCGCTTCCCCTCACCCCAGCAACCCTTAGATATGATGGCTTAGGCCACAAGTCTCTTCTGGGGGATCTTGCACTTCACAATGTTGCTGGTCTCTCACACTGATTTCTATCTCACATTTAAAAGAAGTTAAGTCCAACTCCCATGTATCAGTTCCAGGGAAGACTTTTTGTCTCAGGCAGCACTGGAGAAAGTTTCTTGCCCGTGAGTTCCTACTTCAGGACTGTTGTGCCATAGTATCTCTGCTCTTCGTTATACACCACAGAGAGCTGGATAATGACTAAGGGTGATGGAAGAAGAATTGATGCCTTTGAGTTGTGGTGCTGGAGAGCATACCATAGATCACCAAGAAAACAAATACATCTGTCTTGGAGTGGGTAAAACCGTGTTTCTCCTTGGAGGCCAGGATTTTGAAGCTCTGTCTCACATACTCTATGCATGTGGCAAGGAGGAACCAATCTTTGGAGAAGGGCATCATCCTTGGAATGGTGCAGGGACAGTACAGCAGAGAAAGATCCCAGATGAGATGGATTGATACAGTGACTGGGCAATGGGGGTTGGTGTGTCAGAGTCAGTGAGACAGGCTCAGGACAGGGCAGGCTACAGAGCTATTATGCATAGGGTTGCTATGAGTTACAGGTGACTCAATGGCACATAACAACAACAACAAATAGCATGGCACTAAATATCTTTCATCTTGCTTGGACCAATAATCATCATCCTTTGGACCAGCTGTTATATCCGGAGATGTTTTGCACTGGGCAAGTCTGCTGTCTTGGATCTCTCCAAAATACCAAAGAGCAATGATGTCAGTCTGAAGACTAAAGCACACCTGATTCAGGCCATAGTCATTTCAGTCACTTGCTATGCATCTGAGACCTGAACAATTACTAAGGAGGATAGAAGAAAAATTCATTCCTTTGAGTTGTGGTGCTGGAGAAGAGTCTTGAACACACCATGGACTGCCAAGAAAACAAATAGATCTGTCTTGGAGAGGGTGAAACCAAGTCTGTCCTTGGAGGCTAGGATTTTGAAGCTCCATCTTGCATACTTTGTACATTGGCCAGGAGGGACCAATCCTTGGAGAAGGACATCATACTTGGAAGGGTAGAGGGACAGTGCAGGAGAGGAAGACCATAGGATGAGATGGGATGATGCAGTGAATATTTACTGCACTAAATATTCTGTGACTGCCCTAGAATAAATAGGTATGTCTTGGGAATAGTAAAGCTATAGTCCTCCTTAGAAGCACAGATGGAGGAACTTCATCTCTCACACTTTGGGCAT